CAAAACTAACAGCTCAGAAAAGTCAGTTCACCCTAGAAGGCAGCAATTCTGGATGTATTCGAACCTAACAGCCAACCTGAAAAATACATAAAGCAGATGGACAGAACTGGAGAGAAAGGTAGGTAAGTCTGTCACTACAGTGCGAGAGTCAATTTCATTCTCAAGAACAGGTAAAGGTATTCAGAACTGAGTACCATTAACCCTCACAGCAGTCATATATAAAACTACTCAGCAACATGAGACCATCAAGACATATTTGAGAGCACAGATATAAAACAAATATGAACAGATATAAAGAATTATAAACATACAAGGATGTTGATTCCCCATAACAGAATAAAACTTCAAGTATCAATAGGCGATAACAAGAATATCCCCAATCATTTAAAAGTAAACATAATATATTCTTTGAAGGGTAAAACCAGAAGCTAGAGAGACGGCTCAGTGGTTAAGAGCACCGATGCTCTGACAGAGAACCCAGGTTCAGTTCCCAGCACCCATGCTAGGTAGCTTGAAATTCCCTTTAACTCCAGGTCCAAGAGAGCCCAACATCCTCTTCTGGCCTACACAGGCACCCACATACACATGCACACATGCACACGAAAATAAAACAAATCCTTTTTTAAAGAGTAAACTCAAGCCAAGCACAGTGGTGCACGCCTTTAATTCCAGCACTCTGAAGGCAGAAGCAGGAGGATCTCTGTGAGCTCAAGGCAACCTGTCCACATAGTGGACAGCCCAGGCTATGTAGAAAGACTCTTCCACAAGACAAAAAAAAAAAAAACAAAAAAGTAAAATTAGGCTGTCAAGATGGCGCAGCAGGTCAGTGAAGCTGCCACTAGATCTGAGGACCTGCATCCAGTCCCTGGGACCCACATGGCAGAAGAGAACTGACTTCTGAAATATGTCCTCTGGCCTCCATAGGTTTGCCATGGCATGAGATTGCCACCACCCCTACGTACACAAAACATATTAAAGTGTAATTAATTGTGTTAAAAAATACAAAGTCAGTGAAACCAAGTACTTCTTTTTTTAGCAAGAGAGCGGGAGGGGGTCAAACAGGGATAGAGCACTGGTTGCTCTTGCAGAGGACCTGAGTTTGGTTCCCAGCACCCACTAAGGCAACTGAAAACCATCCCAAGAATTCAACACATTCTGTTGATTTCTGTTGGGCATTAAGAATGCACATTGTGTGTGTGTGTGTGTGTGTGTGTGTGTGTGTGTGTGTGTGTGTTGGGGGAGGGGCCACTTGTTCGTTCAGGCCGCCCAGAACCAAAACAATCACACAGAAACTGTATTCATTAAATCACTGCTTGACCCATTAGCTCTAGCTTCTTATTAGCTAACTCTTATATCTTAATTTAACCCATTTCTATTAATCTGTGTATCACTACGAGGTCGTGGCCTACCAACAAGGTTTCAGCACATCTACCTCCAGCTATGGATCCATGGCATCTCTCTCTCCACCTTCCTTCTCCCAGCATTCAGCTCCATCTTCCCTGCCTACCTAAGTTCTGCCCTATCAACAGGTCAAGGCAGTCTCTTTATTCATTAATGGTAATCACAGCACACAGAGGGAACTCCCACATCATGCATGTGTGTGTGTAGGAGCTTGCTCCTACAAAGTCAGCTAGGGTTCCAGGATAGGGGATCCTTGAGGTCAAAGAAAAGTTAGATGAAAGAAACAGAAGACAGGATAGAATCGGGAGGTCTAGCTACTCATGCCGAAGAAACCAAACAGCCCAGAGTTTACTTCAGAACTTGCTTACAAAAGCAGAACAAAGCGCAGCACAGACGGCCAGTCGGTGTCTAACCACAAGAACATCCCTGTCCTTGGATGAGCAGCTTCTCTCCATCTTGATGTTTTTGGGGTTTACATCAGCAGTATATTCTCTACTAGATAAAGTGTTCTTTCTTCACGGGCTAAATCAAAAGTCTCTCATAGCCCTCAAGGTTATTTAAAAAAAAAAAAAAAGGAGCAGACAAGTTTAAGCTCAAATGACTTCATTTTTAAGTCAAAAATGACACCAAATAAAAACTAAGTCACATATAGACTCCCACATGTGTACATATACATATATACATTTACATATGCAAAACACATAAACATAAGACAAATCAAATCTAAAAAACACTTAGCAAGACTGACAGAAATTTAGGAGAAACACACTGAAATGAGCAGGATTAAAGGACGTACCACTACAGAGTCCACAGATTTTTTTCCCTTTTTATTATTGATTATTAGTGAGCTCTACATTTTTCTCTGCTCCCCTCCCTGCCTCTCTCCTCCCCTTCAGCCCTCTCCCATGGTCCTCATGCTCCCAGTTTACTCAGGAGATCTTGTCTTTTTCTATTTCCTATGTATATTAGATCTATGCATGTCTCTCTTAGGGTCCTCATTGTTGTCTAGGTTTTCTGGGATTGTAATTTGTAGGCTGGTTTTTTTTTTTGCTTTATTTTAAAAACTTATAAGTGAGTACATATGATATTTGTCTTTCTGGGTCTGGGTTACCTCACTCAGAATGATGTTTTCTAGCTCCATTCACTTTCCTGTAAAATTCAAGATGTCATTATTTTTTTCTGTTGTGTAGTACTCCATTGTGTAAATGTATCACATTTTTCTTATTCATTCTTCAGTCGAAGGGCATTTAGGTTGTTTCCAGGTTCTGGCTATGACAAACAGTGCTGCTATGAACATAGTTAAGCACATGTCCTTGTGGCATTATTGAGCATCCTTTGGATATATACCCAAAAGTGGTATTATTGGATCTTGAGGAAGGTTGTTTCCTAATATTCTGAGAAATCACCACACTGATATTCAAAGGGGCTGTACCAGCTTGTACTCCCACCAGCAATGCAGGAGTGTTCCCTTTACCCCACATCCTCTCCAGCATAAGTTGTCATTAGTGTTTTTGATCTTGGCTATTCTTTAAGGTATAAGATGGAATCTCAGAGTTAGTTTGATTTGCATTTCTCTGATGACTAAGGATGTTGAGCATTTTTTCTTAAGTATCTTTCAGAAATTTTAGATTCCTCTGTTGAGAGTTCTCTGTTTAGGTCAGACCTCTATTTTTTATTGGATTATTTGTTCTTTTGAAGACCAATTTCTTGAGTTCTTTGTATATTTTGGAGAGAGTCTACAGATTTTTAAAAGCCAATAAAGGAATGCTACAAAATATTATGCATCTCTATTGATTAACTTGGTAAAATGAACCAGTTTTTCAGAAACTGTCACCAGAGCTGGGTATCTAGCTCGGCGACACAACACAAAGGGCCTAGGCCAATTCCCAATGTCATAGCAGGAAAAGAAAGAGAAAGGAAAAGGCAAAGAAGTCTTACCACTACCACCCACAAGGTGAAAGAAATATCTGGGGGAGTCTTGCAGCTACGAAAGGCTGAGCTCTGTTTACATGGCACAGTCGTTAATTTAGTCATTGCTATGACAAACACAACTCATTTTGGCTCAGAGTTTGAGTTCTGCCCACCATGGCCGGGAAGGCAAGGCAGCAGAACTGTGAAGCAATTGCCCACCTGTGCCCACAGCAGGACGCAGAGGGAGGCGAATGCTACTGCTCAGCTACCTTTCTTGTTCTCATTCAGCCTGGGACCCACCCCTCCCACAGAAAGGCACCATTCACATTTTGGGTGGGTTTTCCCATCTGTGGTGATTTGAAGGAGAATGGTCCCCATGGGCGTGTATGGCTCCCAGTTGGTGGAGCTGTTTGGGAAGAATTGGGAGGTTGGAGAAGGTTTGTCACTGGGTCACAGCGGCTGGGCTTGGAGGTTTCAAAAGCCTACACCAGACCTAGTCTCACTCCCCTCTCTCTGCCTGCAATCAGGATGTTCTCCAGCACCATGCCTGTCTGCAGCCGCAGTCCTTGCCACGCCTGATAGTGTACTAACCTGATAGTGTCCTTACCTTCCTTTGTAAGGAAGCCCCCAATTAAATGCTTTCTTTTTCATATGTTGCGTCAGTCATGGTGACTCTTTACAGCAATAGAACAATAATTAAGACACCACTGCAATTAACTCAACCTTAAAACTCCCTCCAGGTTTGAATCCATGGTGATTATAAATCCTGTCATTTTAACAATCATGGGTGGTTTCTATAAAACATTCAAAGACATATACAAAACAAGCAAACAAAAACCAATTAAACAACTCCCCAGAAGAAAAAGATAACACCAACTCGATACAATCTCTTTGAGAAAACAATAGCATAACACTAACATATTGAGGCCATGTTACCCAACAAAACCAGACAAGAGAAAATACAAAACCATAGGCCAATATTGGTTTGTTATGAACAGAGACACAGTAAGTCTTCAACACAAATAGTCACCAAATTAAATGGGACAATATATTAAAGAAGTAAAATACTATAATGAAATAGATTTATGATAGGAATGCAAGTGGGTTTAATATTTGAAAAACAACCTGGAGGGCCGGGCTTGCAGCTCAGTGGTAGAGTACCTGCCTAGCACCTATGAGGTTCTAGGTTTAATTTCTAGATTGAGGGGAAAAACAAAACAAGACAAAAAAAGGAGGAAGAGGAAGAGAAAAAGGAAAACAGCAGTGACGCTGTATAACTATGACCTCAGCAATTTAGCAGCAGAGGAAGCAAGTTCAGCACAGAATCCAGGCCAGTGAGTTCTAGGCGCCTGAGCTACAGAGTGGAACCTTTCCCACAAAAGAACAGCAGTAAGATGGGCATGTCACATCTTTACTCCCAGCACTTGGGCAACAGACAGAACTCCGAGTTCTAGACTAGCCAGTGCAACATAGAAAGAACTTGCCTGGAAAAAAGAAAAGAAGAGGGGAGGGGAAGGGAGGTGAGAGGAAGGAATGGAAGGGGAGGGGAGACAGAAAGAAAGGGAGGAAGGAAAGGAGGAAGAAGAAAAAACAATACCGTTTATCAAAGTGTCCTAAAAAAAAAAAATACTGTACAGTCACAAGAACTTTGCAATGCAGAAATAGTGTCATATTCCCTCTTTATGTAGACTGTCAGCAAACCAGAAGAGGAAACGGGATCTTCAACCTGATGAGGAGACTCTACAGCTGACAGCTGATTTAACAGAGAAAGACTCACCATTTCTGCATAAAGGCTACAAAGACTCAAGAATGTTTCACTTCACTGGAGTCCCAGAAAATGCATGCGGAAAAAAAAGAGGCACGGAAGAGCTGGGTGTGGCTGATCACTTTACTATCCTAGTACTTCGAGGCTGAGACAGGAGGACTCAGACATTGGAATCAGACTAGGCTACACTGTGAGATCATGTCTTAACATGTACACAACTAAAATCCAAAATTTAAAAGCAAGAACATTTGTCTATTCAGGTGGTGATTATTTTAAAAAGGAAAACAAAATAAAACCAAAACCCAGAAAAGAACTGCTGGTAAAACTATAGAGAAATGAGAACACTGCCCATCACTGCAGTAAGGGAAAGTGGAGCAGCTCTGATGGACAGACAGTTCTTCGAAATGTTAAGACCGGGGAGGGGCTGCAGCTCGGCACTCCTGAAACCCTGAGTTTGATTCCCCAAAACAAACTAGGCATGGAAGCACATGCCTGTAATCCTAGCACTCAGGAGGCAGACAGAGGACCAGAGACTGCCCCCATCTGTCTGTGATGCATGAGATACTGTCCAGGTATTGCTTATTTGCTTGTTTTTAAAATTGAGGCTGGTGAAATAATTTGTTAGATATAACTTAAGTTTGAGTCATGGTACCCACGTGGAAGAAGAAAAATGAATCATATAGACTGGCCTCTGGCCTGCACAGGTAGGTGTACAGCTCCAACCCTCCCAACACACATACATACAAATCAATCTAATAAAAAGTTTTTCATTAAAAAATCAGGGTATAGGGGAGGGAGAGGGAACTGAAATTGGTGTGCAAAATGAGAAAAGACAGCTTTTTAAAATTAATTTAAAAATCAGGGTAGAGACTGGGTGGTGTGGCTCCTGCCTTTAATCCAGTGCTCAAAAGGCAGAGGCAGGTGGATTTCTGTGAACTGGAGGCCAGCCTGGTCTACAGAGCAATTTCCAGGACAGCCAGAGCTAGACAAAGAAACCCTGTCTCAAAAAAAAAAAAAAATTTAAAAATTTAAAAAAGGAAAAGAAAAGGAAAAAACTTAAGGTGTATCCTAGTGGCAGAGTGCTTGCCTGCCAAGCTGGAGGACCTGAGAGCATCCCCACAACCCAGGGAGCCAAGACCAGTGCAGTGGGCTTGCAATATCAAACTCCTAGACAAGGTAAAGCATAATATGACACAGAAGGGAAAATAAAACACAACTAAGAAGTGGTCCACAGAACAATAGCCCTGGGAAGGCTGGCGGCTTGGTTCCATAGGGCAATGACTTCACAATCACAGGTATCATTTCCCAAGAAATCAGGAAGAGAAAACATACATGATAAATCTGAGGTTTATGCCACAAAACGAGGTAAGGTAGTGAGTGCTGAGGTGGCTTAAAAACAACGCTGGCCGGAAGAAGTCACCACACTCATTGTAGGGTATAAATGCTGAAGAGTGACTCCAATCTGAAGCCGAGTTTGTAGCTCAGCACACAAAAACATGCTGGCTCTGATAAAGGGTACTAAATAAATGGGGACGGGATGAGCTTCAAGTCTGTGTTTTGTAAACACACTATCTCAATAACTGAATAATCAAATAACTGCTAAAGACAGGATCCTCTTTATCCAATGGCAACCAGGGAATGAAGCCATGGCAGAACCCGAAGCCTACCATCTCAGAACCACACCATAAGAATGTTAGGAAAGACCAATGCCATTCACATCAGAAACAGACACCAACCACCTTAATGAAACATACCATGTCCTGTCCAAATTAGCAAAAAGCAAACCTGCATCTAATCTGAGTTCCACAAGGGTCACAGGAATATGTTAAGTAACCACACACGGACACATTCAGCAAAGTACGAATGCGAACTCCACAGCACACACTAACGTCCACAAATACACTGGTAAGGAAAACGCAGCCCTCAGAGGAGGAGTGGATTCACTGAAATGGTCAACTTTTTAAGAAACAATCTAGGAACCACAGATGCTTCTGATGTTTAACATGAAGTTCCCAGTCATTCACTCACGCATTTGCTCATGTGTGTATTTGCTGTCCGTGTGTCATATGGGCTCTCATATGCCATGAAGCACGCAGACAAGGCAGGTGTGGGAAACGGGGACTGAACTTAGGTTGTTAGGCTTGGCAGCAAGTGCCTTTACCTGCTGAGTCATATCGCTAGCCCTTCCTTATCGTGAAAATTTAAATTTAAAGAAAGAGCCCTTTTTGGATTCAATGATGCCTTCTCCCCAACAAAAGTGTCTACGATTAAGACCTAATTCCCAGCTTCTCAGAATGTGGCCTTACTTTACAGAGGCGGTACAGTTCAACAGGCTTGTATGGATTTCTTAAACCAGAGCAATTACCTCTTTCTAAAGGTGGGGTCTGGAGCTTGAACACAGCGGGAACACCGTGTAAGGGAGTTATGGTCCACAGGCTGAGAACCAGCAGAGTGAGGACTCCTTCCCCCACAGTCCCAGGAAATGACAAACCTGCAGGCACCAGCCTCTAGAAGGACAAGGCAGGCTGAGGCAGGAAGTTCTTGTTTAGTTTTTTACTCTGGAAGAGACGGTATCTTTGGGAGACATGAACTGAAATGTCAAATGATGGTACAATATACAGAACCTGCTTCAAAATAACCTAGAGAGAGGAACGAGTTCACATGCACACACAGAACAAAACCAGCCAGCCATGTATCAATATGGTGAAATTCAGTTTCATTGTACCAATCTACTTTTACATTTGATAATTTTCATAATAAAATAAGTAAGTTATGAAGATTTTTTTAAATATTTATTTTATTGGTGTTTTAGCCTACATGTATAAATGTGTGAGGGTGCTGGATCCTGGAGTTACAGACAGTTGTAAGCTGCCATATGGGTGCTGGGAACTGAACCCGGGTCCTCTAGAAGAACAGTCAGTACTCTTAACCGCTGAGCCATCTCTCCAGCCCCAAGTTATGACGATTTTAAAAGCAGCAGCCACCACTGCCACCACAGAACCACCACCAGGCATCATAGGGCAATGGGAAAATGGCATCATAAACTCCTGAAGGTAACAGGCCCCAGCCAGAGGGACTGGAATCCACCCCACACGGGCGCCAGCCACCAGAGCAGTTCTAATGATGTGAGACTGACCATCCCAGAAAAACATGCCACAAACCAAGCCAGGTGGTGGTGGCACATGCCTTTAAGTCTAGCACTCGGGAGGCAGAGGCAGGTGGATCTCTGAATTCAAGGACAGCCTGGTCTACAGAGCAAGTTCCAGGACAGCCAGAGTTCTTACATAGAAATCCTGTCTTAAAAAATCAAAGACAGAGGTAAGAAAGAAGGGAAGGAGAGAGGGAGGGAGGGAGAGAAGGAAGGAGGGAAACAACCCCCACAGTTTTCTAAACGTAAGAATTTCACAATAACAGCCCCAAATAATCTAAGATAGTTTGTCACTCAGAATGGCAGATTTCCCACGAACCTTGGAGGATGCAGTTGCTGTCAGGATCCCTACCCAACTTTCAAGGGCATGCCTTTTGTTGTTGATTTTGAACTTTTATTTTATGTGTAGGGGTGTTTTGCCTACATGTATATCTTTGCTCCACGTGCATGCCTAGTGCCTACAGAAGTCAAAAGAGGGCATCAGATCCCCCTGGAGCCAGAGTTAGACAGTATGAGCCATCTCTCCAGGCCCTATTTGTTTTTTAAAACAAGGCTTTACTATACAACCCAAGCTAGTCTGGAACTCAGGAAGTAGCCCAGGCTGGCCTCAAACTCACAGAACTCCTCTTGCCTCAGCCTCCCTGTGCTGAAATTACAGATGTAAGCCACCATGCCCAGCTTCAGATGAAACAACAAAGTGGGTGAAGAGCCACTAAAGGAAAAAAGAACTTGGTTTCTACCAGCAGAGACCCTCGCCTTCTCCAGCTCGGGAACCTAGAAAAGCCGTTAGCTCCACCTCCTGCACCTCAGATGCCTCTTCCTAAGTGGGGACACTGGGTTGCTATAAAAATACAGTGGTTCATCTGGTAGCAAGCACACATGAGGTGTCAAAGACAGAGCACTGTGAAAGAAAACCAGTCCCACAGGAACCCAGCTTATCTGCGTCTGTTTCACTTAGATTTCTAACCTGAATCCTGGAGAAGGAAATCTTTAACTGTCGCTGGTGATGCTTTGCTGGTGCACAGAGGTCCTTGTACTCAGAGAAGCACTACTAAGAACTACGGGTGCTAATCACACAGGGGAGTCTCCTCAATGGGGGGAGATAAAATCAAATACTTGCTTTCATCCAAAAAGCTGAGCGTGGACTTTGTTAAGGACCAGGTGACTTTTCTGCTATCTGTGTAGGCAGGCCTCACCCACCTTTTGCTACAGAGAGAGACCTTGCCCGAATTCCCCAGAATGATTATCCTGGACTCTTGCCTCTGTAGACCATGACCCATCCTTAGGCGACAGGTCACAAGTACTCTATGTCCTGCTGACCGCTGTGCTATGGGTCAGAGACCACACTAGGCCCTTTTAACTATAGAGCCCACCCTCGTGGCCACATGTACTCTGTAAAAGAGTCTCTACGTAGTCACCTTAAGCTTTAATGTGCACCTGGAACTGGACTGACAGCTGCCTGGAAACCTTTCCCCAAATCGTACTGTTTTAAATATGCTGACAATGAGGGCTGGAGAGATGGCTCAGAGGTTAAGAGCATTGCCTGCTCTTCCGAAGGTCCTGAGTTCAATTCCCAGCAACCACATGGTGGCTCACAACCATCTGTAATGGGGTCTGGTGCCCTCTTCTGGCTTGTGGGCATACACACAGACAGAATATTGTATACATAATAAATAAATATTTTTTTAAAAAAATAACTAACTAAATAAATAAATAAATAGATATGCTGACAATGAATCGCCTGGCATTAGACTCCCAGAAGTCTGATCCAGGTTGACGAAGCCAATCTGCACCCGGTTTTCATTCTTACTCTTCGAGTGGTTCACTTCCCTGTATGGCACCTGACATCAATGACTCCTGTAACCTCTTGCTCACTCACGATCAGTATCAGTTCCACTTTCAAAACATTGCTTCCATCTGATTGA